CCTGTGAAACTGATTAAATTCAAAATTCCTCAAGGTGATTTTATTCCAATATCATTAAGAAGAAGTATGCGGAAGCATTCATTAAGTTACTACAGACATCACGACTTATCGTCGTTAATAGCTATCAAAACAATCCTCATTAGAATCCATGAGTTAAAAAATCTAAGTCTTAGAAATAAAGAGACGCGAGTAATTCAGTCGCCACATAACACTGGAGAAAAAGCCAAACTCTTCAAAAGTAGGTTAACTAACTCCAAATCAACATATCCAAAAATAATACACCTAGGTGGCATTACTCACGAAAGTGATGAGGATATATGTGAGGTGTTTAGCACGCACTTTGCCAAATTGTACACTCTAGAAAACGACCAGGATATAGATTTCCCTCGTAAAACAGAAAAGTGTTTAAGCGATGCAGTCTTTAACGCCCAAGAAATCGATAAAGCTACCAAAACTCTTAAGCTTACTAGTACTCCCGGCCCAGATGGAATGTCTTCTGTCCTCTTAAAAAAGGGTGGAAATGACATGAATCTACTTCTTCTCAAGATATTTTCAACTTCGATAAGGAGTGGAACATATCCAAATAGCTGGAAGAAATCTTACGTTGTACCCATTCACAAAACCGGGCCTATAGCGGACATAGATAATTACCACCCCATCAACATTACTTCCGTAGTTTCACGTGTGATGGAAAAGATTATAAAGAAGCAAATTGCTCAGTTTTTGCTCTCGAATGACTTAATATCCGCCTTCCAATACGGTTTCCTAAATAGAAGATCGTGCATTACTTGCCAATTAGATTATTTCGACCACATTACTGAGTGTGTAGACAAAGGTCGTTCAGCAGCAACATTATTTCTAGACGTTAGGAAGGCTTTTGACAAAGTCCCACATAAGAGACTCATATTGAAACTCCTATCTTATGGAATAAGTGGAAGGCTACTTGAGTGGATAACTTCTTTTCTTACAGGAAGAGAACAGTTAGTTAAAGTCAACCATCACTTATCAACATCCAAACCGGTAACCAGCGGCGTGATACAAGGTAGTGTTCTTGGCCCTACCCTATTCATTGTATTCATAAATGATATTGTTTCTATGATCAAGTATGGCAAGCCATACCTCTTTGCAGACGACCTCAAAGTTGTCTATGATTTCGACTATAATGATATGAATATTGTTAGTAAAATCCAAGAAGACCAAATAGTCTATGTAATTGGAGTGAAAAGTGGCAGTTAATGTTCAATCCAGCTAAATCTGGGATAACATACTTCGGACGTTGGAAACCTAGCATGTTTCTATACATGTACGGTGACCTTGTCTCAAACACGAACACAGTCACAGATCTCGGGGTAACATACTCAGATCTTACCTTTACTGAACATGCAAATAAGGTGGTATCTGATTGTAAACGTCTAACCGGCTTTGTGCTACGCAACTTTTACACCCCAGAAGCCAGATTAGCCATATATAAGATATGCATTCGCCCCAAACTTGAATACTGTGCCCACTTATACAGTAGCTTTAAATCAGCAGACAGAAAAAAAGTTGAAAGTGTCCAAAGATTCCTCACGAAACGCATATTACGTTATGATCAGCAAATAGAATACCTTGACAGATGTATTCGACTGGACTTAGAACCCTTATGGTTAAGGAGAGTGAAGTGCAATTTATTTCTCTTATTCAAAGTTATAAGAAAGCACTGTAACAGTAACTCGTCTATAACCTGGGCTAATCCTAAATCGTATGGACTACGCAACCATAACTGCCTTCTCAAGGTTAACACCCATAAGCTCACCACTAGAGCTAACTTCTTCACCATTAAATATTGCAAACTTTGGAACCAACTACCCTCTGAGATTAGATCCTGTGAAAAGCCTGACAGTTTCAAAAGGAGCCTAGAAAATCATATTAACATGTCCACCCTAGCCCTTCTAAATGATCTCAACTGCTGGTAGAGTGGTGAAACCATGACATTTCAATATTTAACTACAGACAGTACACTAGTTCCTAGACTAACCTAATAATACTTAGTAATTATGCATGTTCAATACTTGAAATTAGATTACCATTAAAATACTTAAAATGATTACTTACGCAGCATATGTTCTCTTAGTTTATCACTCTTATTTCCCTTATAACATTCAGTTTTGAGCCTAATGTATTCTTTGATAATACGAATTATAACACTGATTACACTCTTATTATACATAGATTGATTTACTTTATGGCTACCTGTAAGACTCACTAACTTTCTGTAGTATTGTTAACCAAATGCTGAAATTTTGTTGGTTCTGCTAATATCTTTTTATAATATATGTAGACAGGTTACTTTGCAATGTCAAATGTTTACTATATATAAAACTGTCATGATAATTTAGTACACTTGGTCCTGCCAACCGACCTTACCTTCAGTTCATACTACCTATATTGAACCCTAACTATATTGTTCTGCTGAATCTTGCTCCACTATTCAAGGTTTTTGTCTTCTTATAAAGTAATCTGTTCATTAGGACGCATGCATACATATATAATATGTTCATAAAGATGTACGCGGGGACCTATTGGAAGCACTCATTAAGAAAGCTAGGGAGATGGAATATGGGGTACGAACATGTCTGGTACCAAGCAATATATTTGCGGTAACCATAATAATCATAGTCTCAGAGCCTAACATCAAAAAAGGTGGGAGGGTGGAGTTAGCTGATCAGTAGATATGGTGGTGGACACTAAGGTGAATCGCCCCATTCTGCAGGAACAGCATTAAAAAATTTGAAGGCTCGAGATATTTCTGGTTTTTATGAGGGCTTAAATCTTTATCTTGAAAAAGATAACAATGAACGCCTTGACAGATCATGCTTCTACCTTTAAATATATACCATTCACCCAGCCTATTGTTGAGATGCGACCATGTGGGATCTGCTCAGATTTATGGGGCATCTTATAAATTAACTTACTGTCTATCGTCAGATCTTTTCATACCACTCCACAATGTCTTATCTCATTTATTTTCTGACAACGTCTTTACTTGATCCCCATTTTACTCCATTAAACTTAACATCTTATAGCTCTTCATTACTTATTATTCTCCTACTCTCTGAAGGGTACGGTTGTGCACTAAGTGCACAAAAAGATATAAAATAAAAACAACTGGCATGAGGATAATTGTATTAAAACCAAAAGTGGATATCATGATAGTTTGTGATATATCTGTAGCATTATACATTGCAAATGGATGTTGTTACCCTAGGGTGTTTCCTTTATTAATGCATTTATTAATGATACTTGCACTTACCTATTTCATTACAATTTAATGATTCACCTCAGCACTTTAATGTTTCTAAAACAGATTCCAATCCCTTGTAAAAGGTGTACTTACCTCAATATTGGTTGGTTATCGTATGCCTACAACCACGGGATGAAGAGTGAGAATATACGTTATAGAGTGTTATATCTTACGCGCTTAAGGGCTTTCTCAGCTTTGATTGGCTAGTACAGTGGCGGAGAGTTTGACTTAAATTTGTCCTCGGTAGGTCATGCCGTGTGCAGGTTTTCGTGGTTGCGGCATGCGTTGTTTGCAAGCATGTTTGATGAATATAAATGTAAAATATTGGTATTCTAACGTTTTATTTTACTTATTTTGTGCATGTACCAGGCTTGGTTTATCATACATTCTGTTTGTTGGCCTATCGGTTGCTGGCGATGTCAAGGAATCCGTGAGTTCGAGGGCTTTTCTCGATTTTAGGTTATACATGTAGCATTTTATTGATGGATATTGCGACACAGATGGATGCTAATTGACAACGCCTTTTTAGTTTATTGCAGGTAGGCAATGCGGGTGAAAGTACTGCTGACGTCAGTGGAATTTTCGATGAAATTATGCTGGGAAGGCGTTTCTTTAGTTGGGAGGAATTTGAGAATTCCTTAGGAGAATTTCAACAAGTGAGGAAGTCATTTAATGCTAACAATGTAGTTGTCCTGCACTCACTATGTGCATATTCAAAGCAAAACAACAGGGGACGACAGATATAAGTACGCTTACGTTTATTTTAAATGCACTTTTGGCGTGAACCGTGGAAAAGCTGGCCTGAAATTGCGAAACAAGTCGTAAGAGGAATTGTATTATGATAATATGTATGTTTAAGGTCTAAATGTTGCAACTGTCTGTCTGCATTTCGCGTAATTTTGCGTTATAGTGAATACGTGATAACATCCCACAAAATGGTCCACAACCATCCATGCACCAGGGTGTATATGCAGAATGATCCATGGTCTAGACGACTGTCAGCGGAAGAGAAAGAAAATATAGAACCACTTCTTCACCAATCACACTCATCAGATGAAATAATTATGCATGTTAAGGAAACATTCCACAAGGACATAACTCTTAATGACGTTAGAAATCTGAAAGCTTCAGTTAATAAAGGTAACGTTAATGTAAATGTAAACTACTTCAGGTATATCGAGCCGTTATGACATTTTTGAATTCCTAAAGTCCCGTGGGAAGTTATTGGAGTATTATTCAGATGAACCGATAAGGAATTCACTGATGAGAGTCTGTTTTTCTACTTATGAGCAAATAGATTTGTATAAACGTTTTCCGGAGGTTGTTGGCATCGATTCTACATATAACACAAATAAAGGGAAGTAAGTTTATTAATTAATTAATGAACATGCAGGTATTCTTTGTTTCAATTAGTTGTAACGGATAATTTTGGTCGTGGGAGACCGGTTCTATTTGCTTGGACGCGAAAGGAATTCAAGCGTGATGTTGTTTGGATTTTGGACTCGTTTCGTAGCATAATGGAAGACACCTCTAAAACAGAAACATTCATTATGGATTGTGCGCAAGCCGAAATAGGAGCAGTGAAGTTAACACACAGAGAAGCGCACATTGTTCTTTGTTCTTTTCATGTTTGTCGTGCATTTTGTCGTAAAGTAAATTATTTAAAAGCATAATTAAAATTTCAATTTTAGACGCGGAATCCCATTGTTAAGAACTACTTATGTCGCTTAATTCAGTGTAAAAGGAGATCTGAGTAATGCCTTTAATATTTTCATTTTTCCAGATTTAACTTCTATTTCAGAGTTATAAGCCGATTGGATGTTGGTGTCAGTCAGTATTTACAACGTCGTTGGATGAGTCGACGACACTTGTGGGCAGCAGCTTTCAGGGAACATGTACTGACTTTGGGTAATGATACCAACAATCGAGTAGAAAGTTCTCACAAGCAGATGAAGCGGTACTTGCTTAGATCAGATAGTCTGCATCAAAGCATGCTGAAGGTTCACAAATGGTTTCAACTTAGTAATTCTAGAATAGAGCAGGAGTCCATGATTGCTCAGTCGCGTTCTCTTAAGTATTCATGTTCCGAACGCATAATACCAATTTTACGCCACCTGACGCCATACACTGCGAAGAAAGTGATCGCTGATTATGCGAAGCGACGATGGACTTCTTTTCAGTTAGAAGGTTTTGATTATATCTTCTTGGATGACAATGGGAGACCAGTAGAGGTGGATCTGCGCGCATGCACATGTACTTGTATGACGTTCCAGACTTGTCGGTATCCCTGTCGACACTTGCTGATGGTGCATTTAAAAACGGCGTGTTTCACAGGTAAAATACCCTTTTTTAAAACTTGTATATTCATTTACACGTAAGATATACTAGGTTGCCACCTGAAGTATTCCCTATTTTATGTCTCCATAGTTAATGCATATTAACCTACTCCTAACTGACTGAAATTCGTAGATACTAAAATGTATATATATTTCATAAGGGTTTGTCTTAATTGAAAACAGGACGTAAGCACTGTCATTATTTATCCTTTAATATTGTGTGCATAATTCTATTTCCGTTTACCGTTGCACCTTTTGTAGTTAATCATGTGCTGCAGCAGTGTAAACGATGGACTTGGTCTCGCCACTCCTACGCAATTCCAAGCACGTCAGCAATTGTGCCGCGAAATCAATGTGACTTACACATAACCAATAGGAGGCTTATTAATGCGGGCCTGACGAGAATTTGTGACAAATATGGACGGACGTTTGCCGCAGAGTTCGCTGGAAAAGTAATCGCTGAAATCAACAATGTTCTTGATGTGTAAATTAAATACTTTCGTATTACAATAAGAATAAACTTTTCGTATTAAGATTGTTGTCTTTCTGTTGGTGTGTTCGCCTTGGGAGTACGGCATGCTAGACCGGTGCTCCCTAGGATGTGAATCCGTTAATATACGTAAGTGCTAATCTGTAGGAACACTTTCCACCGATATAAGTCGTGAATTATTAGTACTTCAGTCACGTCGAAAAAAATTTGAGATTACGTCTCATAGTCATAGATAAATCTGTAGGGACTAATGACAAAAATACCTAACTTCAGTGTTTGACAAATATGAGTAGAACTTAGGGCCCTGCAGTTGACTTCGATTTCGTATGAAGTTAAGTGTAATCAAAAGCACTGTATTACTACTAGTTCACTTAAAGCAAGATGTCAATCCATATGACTACGGGTGTTAACATACAGTGTAAACTGAAGTCTACACGAGAGGAATAATTTAATAGGTAGGGCTGTAGCAATGGTAGTAAGATATCGCCGACGTTGAATTATGCCTACAATTAGTTTCTCAGGCCTACATCTCGTCATAATGACAAATTTAGTTTCACTGAGATAGAATAAGAAAAGTATGGTAAGCAGGATGTTAAATATATTTCATGAAAAATATTAAGCGAATGTCTTCACACAATTGTTTTTCGTAATTACTGCGAGGATGCGTAAGTGCTGTGACCTGGTTGACTGACTTGACGGAACATCTACAAGTAAATAATAAAGTATAATTTTTAAATCGTTGAAGTTAGAAATAAGTAATGTAAAAGTGAAACGCTTTATATTCTCCTACCTTTGCTGAAAAAAGGTTCATTCTCCTTTCTCATTCTTTGGTCATGACAGCATTCTTCTGCGGTTTTCACTGTGACATACATTGTTCTTCTTCTAAAGTATAGCACCAAGCAAATAATAACTTAATATACTGTATAAATGGATGTTTACAAGGAATGCATGACATCTATACAGGTACAATAAGTTAGGCTATAAATTACAATCGTGAAGTATCGTAAATTAAAACTTTTTCAAAACCTTAGATTGTTCATTTATTTTACAAGCAATTACAACAGATTACAATAAAAGTTAAACTCCGGACCCTTCACAATGAACACTGCATATATATCGGTAAGTGCTATTCCCTCACACAATTAAAAGGTATTCCATGAGGAGAACAGCATCCTGAGAAACTGCAGTAGTGTTTTCTAGCTATTCGGAACTTATTCCTTTGATGCTGTTTCTTAGCAACTGTTTGCAGTATTCATAGTGACTTTAGAGAAAACTTTATCATATCTTCACTTTCCCTTCAAGTACAATAGCATGCAGTAACTACATACACACAAGCATTGTAACTTAAACATCACAAAATCCCTACAGATAACTTGTTTCATAGTAAATGCTTTTGAAACATGAGCCATAAGTACACCTTCCATGTCATTCATAGTCACAAGTCATTCATTAAGCATCTCAGAATATGTTAGTGATGTGAACATGAAAAATTCGTAAGACTGATATAACTGAAGTAACACGTTTAGTAGTTGTAGGACATACCTGCGAGCTACTATTCTACAGAAAGGTGATTCCAATTTGAAGCAGTCTGGCATTGTAGAAGCACCATGTATACTATTCTTCTGGCACAAATGCACAATGATATCGAGATAATCTGATGCAATGTAATGCACTCAGCAATTACGGTCTCTCGAATTTCTATGTGACAATGTAAATTAAACTAGTATCACATCTTCAACTGAGCCATTTAAACTAGGAACTTCAGAGAAATGGATAAAATCACCAGGAAATTCAGCAAATTGCCTCATTCATCGCATACTCTCTTCGATGTGTTATGGAATATTTCAATCATCACGGATGATGATAAAAAAGTGTTTGGTATCCTCAAAACGTATATTTCACTTGTGTCTGTGGGCTAGTTCTCCTTCAAATGTCTCCTTATCATAGAATAACTGCTATGAAAACAACCATTGTATACACCTAATTTTCAACCTATATTTCCTCAAAAACCTAGCAAATAATAGACCATTAAGGCTCTAAAACGCGAAGAATAGTCTTTTTTTGCTAAATTTCTTATATACGATGAGGTATTGAAGTAATACATACTCTGCGATATCATGACAGGTTCTTCCATTAATACGAACAAAATACTGGAAAATGTTGCTTTTTCGGTTATATAAGCCTGAAACCAGTTATATATTATCTACTTTCACAAAAGTAAACGCTTATAACGCCTCTATACGCGTGAACACGATAACCCATACATTCCGCGATAATATATCACTATAACGTTTATTGCCACTCGAGAAAACGTAGCACCTAATTCGAAATTTCAAACTGTACATTCAATTCCCAATTTCCAGTATCGGTATTAAAAGCCAAACCAATTTGACTTCGTTGTACTATTTTCTCGGCTATAAGGTAAAGACTCCTGGTCTTCGGTGAAGTTCTGCATAGTGTGTCTCACCAATGGACTGTCGTAGCTTTGGTTTACCACATGGGGAGTGGTTCTGTGATTGATTATACTTGGGTTGTGGTATGCAGTATGTTAAGACAGTGTGACGGCTGTCTTAAGAATTTTATATTTTATGTCCTCTGATCTTTCTGCCTATGGAATAATAAAATGTTCAATCTCTTTAGTCTTTCCTAGTGTAACAAACTTATCACACCAGAGATCATGGGTGTGGCCCTTTAGAATACATGAGTCCTCCCTAATGCAAGAAGTGGCTTCCGGGATGAAGCCTTCTTGTTTCGGTCTAACCAGAGTTTGTGTAGTGTGGTAAACATCTTACAGATGATTCTCGTAAAGGCCTTGCATATTCATTATAAGGATCGGAAACAGCTAGCATCAAGGGACAGTATGCTGCAGATTTCAACCCATGAGTTATTATGACGCTTAGATCGGTATGCATCAAGGTTCATGGGATTGGTATTCTTTCTGTGTCATATGATCTGACACCCGAATGCCAAATCAACTTTGCTACTTTTGTTGGAGCATCCATCTTTTAGAACAATGTAGACCAGTCCTATTTAAGTGGTCAGAAATCTTTGATCGCCCGTGAACGGTAAGGATACATGAACACCGTCTCAAGGATCCATCACCACGTATAACCGGCCAACTGCCCACGATCTCCAAGCTATCTCTCCAAACTGGACTGTTGCTGCTGGACTGGAAAGACTCCGTTTTAACCCTTATCCACAAAGTAGGATCAAGACAATTCCCTTTAAACTACAGGCCTATTAGACTCACCAGCAATCGAATCAGCATGCCGGAAGGAATCATCAAGAAAACTACCCTGGCACGTCTCGAAAACAACAACCTGATGTCCAGAGCACAGCACGGCTTCCGGAGAAACCCCTCATGCCTGTCAAATCTCACTGCAAGAGAAAGCTGGGTCCAGTCAAGGAACAACAGAAGACCAGTCATCGTCGTCTCCATAGGCTTCAGAAAAGCTTCTGATTGAGTTCTTCAAAAAACTATTCAAGTAGATAGGAGGTCCTGGAATCAAGGCCAGTTTAATAAACCGGATCAGGTAATTTCCCATAGATAGGAGGCAGAGGGCCAGGATGAATTCAAAACTCTCCTCCTGGACAACAGTACGTAATGTAGTGCCACAAAGCACGGTAATCGAACCTCTCCTATTTGTTTTGTATATCAATGAGTTATCTCTGCTCACCGATTCTTCCATGGTCCTATACTTAAAAGCCCGGAGGGAGTTGAAGGGCGACAATCATACTCTCACGCTGCGAAAGGACCTCAACAAAAAGTCAGAGTGGTCCAGAGAATCGGTGCTCCCAATTCACGTAGCGAAATGTGCAACCATGGTCATCGGACACGTAAGCATTAGATCCTGCGAACTAGAGGAAATAAAACTCCCATTATTTCAGACTCATTCGGATTTAGGTGGCATAGTGGCTGCATGCAGTTTCAGATCCTTTTGGGCGATTCGAAAATCCTTTGTTAGAATCACCAGAGATACGTTCACCTTCTTATATACATCTCCGGTGAGGTTAAGACTGGAGAACTGTATCCAGGCTGCCAGTCCTTGTCCAAAGAAAGGCAACACGTATGATTTTCGACATGACTAACCTATCATACGAGCAAAGACTCAACAGTTTAAATCTCTGCTCCCTGTCATGCCGTAAGCAGAGAGGAAATTTATGCACAATGTTTAAAATCTGAAATAATGACAACGCATTGACCTATTGTACCTTTTCCTTCACATTAGGTTGGAAAAC